CTGTTCTTTGTTTCTGTGACAGATACTGAGTATGATCAACTCTAAATCCATCCAGGTTGCTGTGAAGTCCGTATGTTTGTCCTCCTTTACGGCTACATAATATTCCATTGTGTGTATATACAACATTTTTTAAATCCAGTCCAGCTTCGATGGGAAGCATGGTTGGTTCCATGTTTTTGCTGTTGTGAAAAGAGCTGCAACAAACATACACGTGCTGGTACATTTTTTTGTAGAATAATCGGAGTTCCTCCAGGTATATTCCCAATAGGGGGCTCATTTCTTTTAATCACTGAATAATATTCTGTTATGTCCCACAATTTGTTGAGTCTCCTATTGAAGGACATCTTGGTTATCTCAAATGTTTGATAATTATGAGTAAAGCTTCTATAAACATTTATATGCAGGCTTTTGTGTGGACAAACATTTTCAGCTCATTTGGATATATACTTAGAAATGTGATTACTGAATTGAATGGTTAACTTACTTTTAACTTTTTTTTCTTTTTTTTTGAGTTGGAGTCTCACTCTGTCGCCCAGACTGGAATGCAGTGGCACGCTCCCGGCCACCGCAGCCTCTACCTGCTGGACTCCTGCAATCCTTCCGCCTCAGCCTTCCAGGTAGTCAGAACTACAGGTGCGCGCTACCATGCCTGGCTAATTTTTTTTTTACTGTAGAGATGAAATCTCACCAAGTTGCCTGGGCTGGTCTCGAATCCACGGGCTCAGGCAATCCACTCACTTCGGCCTCCCAAAGTGCTGGAATTACAGCTCACCCTAACTTTGTAAGAAATGATCAAACTATCTGCCAAAGTGGCTTAATCATTTTACATATTGGACCTCTTTGAGCCTTTGGGATGTGCAGATAAATTATTTTATATCAAATTTGGGAAGTTTGCTGGCATTATTCAATTTTTTTTTTTTTTGGTCTTCCTCTTTATTTCCCTTCTGTGACTCTTATTATACATTTGTTGGTATATTTTATATAGTGTCTCACTGGTCTCTGAGACTTTATTAATTTTTAAAAATGATTTTATTTTTGTTCTTCAAACTGAATGTTCTCAAATGACCTGTCTTCAGTTTTACTGATTCTTTCATCCATCAGTTCAAACCTGCTACTGGGCTCCTCTAATCAGTTTTTCAGTTCACTTATTGTACTTTTCAAATTCCATATTTCTGCTGGGTCTTTCTTATAATTTCTGTCTCTTTATTGAAATTCTCAGTTTAAGCCGGGCTCGGTGGCTCAGCCTGTAATCCCGTGCCTTTGGGAGGCTGAGGTGAGTAGATTGCATGAGCCCGCGGGTTCGAGACCCGCCTGGGCAGTGAGACCTCATCTTTACAATAAATCAAAAAATCAGCTGGGCATGGTAGCACGTGCCTGTAATTCCGGCTACTCGGAAGACTGAGGCGGAAGGATCGCCGGAGCCCAGCAGGTCGAGGCTGCAGTGGCTGGGAGTGGCCACTGCGCTCCAGTCTGGGCGACAGAGTGAGACTCCAACTCAAAAAAAGAAATTCTCAGTTTAGTTAGATTTAGGTTTTGTTTTTTTTTTGAGTTGGTGTCTCACTCTGTCACCTAGACTGGAGTGCAGTGGCACACTGCTCATGGCCACCGCAGTCTTGATGTGCTGGACTCAGGTGAACCTTCTGCCTCAGCCTTCCACGTAGCTGGAACTAAAGGCACATGCCACCACATTTGACTAATTTTTTTTTTTTGTTATTTATTGTAGAGATGTGGTCTCACCAAGTCGTCCAGGCTGGTCTCAAACCTGTGAGCTCAGGCAATCCTTTTACCTCCACTTCCCAATGTGCTGGGATTACAGGCATGAGCTACCGCGCCCGGCTATTTTGTGTTATCAGTAGTCACAATTTATTTCCTAATGAAATAATTTTAAAAGTTTGAGCCACCATGCCTGGCCTAGATATATATATATATATATTTTTTGGTCTCCCACCCTCCTAATATCATTCTCATACTTTCTTTTAGTTCTTTTTTTCTTGAACATATTTATAATAACTGATTTAATGTCTTTGTTATATCTAATGTCTGGGTTAGTTTGGGGACATTTTTATTGACTGCTTATTTTTATTTATTTATTTTTTTCTATGTATTGGCCAGAGCTTTTTTTTTTTTTTTTTTTTTTTGGGGCGCATGTCTTCCAATTTATATATTTTTTGTAAAGCAGGATTTATTAGAGGACAGAAAAGCTCCTACAGTGGGAAGGGACCTGAGGGGGTTGCCCCCTTCTAATTTTTTTGTTAAAACTGGACATTTTGGCCAAGCCTGGTGGCTCACCTCTATAATCCCAGCACTCTGGGAGGCCGAGGTGAGAAGATTCTCTGAGCCTACGGGTTCGAGACCAGCCTAGGCAACTTGGCAAGACCTCATCTCTACAGTAAATTTTTAAAACTTAGCCAGGTATGGTGGCATGTGCCTGTAGTTCCAGCTACTTTGAAGACTAAGGTGGAGCTTAGTCTGAGCCCAGCAGGTTGAGGTTGCAGTGTATGCCACTGTTTTCCAGCCTGAGTGACAGAGTGAGACTCCAACTCAAAAAAAAAAAAGCAACAATTAAATTCTTGTAAACATTTTATATAGTAAATCTGTTATGAAGATAATAGGTGATATTTGACTTTATTTTTAGAACAGTAGCACTTATTAACTGTAGAACCAACTACCAAGGTATAAAATTGATTTTTTTTTTTGAGTGTCAGTTTCACTCTGATGCTCACAGACACTGTAGCCTCGACCTGCTGGGCTCAGGAGATCCTTCCATCTCAGCCTTCCAAGTAGGTGGAACTATAGGCATGTGCCACCACACCCAACTAATTTTTTGATTTATTGTAGAGACAAGATCTCAGCATGTTGCTCAGACTGGTCTCGAACCTATGGACTCAGGCAGTCTTCTCACCTTTGCCTCCCAAAGTGCTGGGATTACAGGCATAAGCCACTACTCCCAGCTATAAAACTGATTTTTAAAAACAAAACAATATTTAACTGTTATAAACTTTTTACATAGTAAAAAGTGGGTTGGTTTCCTGTAATTTGAATTTAGACAAAAGGTCTAACAGTTTAGTTTATATACATTTTTTGTTTGTTTGTTTTTTGGGTTGATATCTCACTCTGTTACCCAGGCTCGAGTGCAGTGGCATGCTCACGGCCACCATAGCCTCTACCTGCTGGGCTCAGGCTGTCCTTCCACGTCAGCCTTCCAAGTAGCCGAAGCCACAGGCATGCACTACCACACCCAGCTAATTTTTTTTTTCATTTATTGTAGAGATGAGGTCTCACCAAGTTACCCAGGCTGGTCTCAAACCCGAGGACTTTGGCAATCCTCTCGCCTCTGCCTCCTAAAGTGCTGGGATTACAAGTGTGAGCCACCACCCCTGGCTCATTGTTGTTTTTTCTAAGGCTTAGTTATCATAATCTGTTATAACTAATGCAGAAATGCAAGCTGTATGTTTATTTTGCATTGTGAATGTTTTGTCTTCCTGTAGTGCTTGGCACGGAAGTGAACTCAATGTGGGGTCAACTCAACACAGTCCCAAATTGGGCCTGGTTTCAACTGAGCCTTTTCAATCCAGTGTTAAAATTCAGTTGACTTGTGTGCTTCCTTCAAAGATTTTTTTTTTTTTTTTTTTTT